TCTCCTTTTTAACTCCCAGTGGAGCACAGGCCATCAACAGCATTACTCCAGCAAAGCCTGTCCTGAGCGTCCTTTTCTATCTGATATCAACATTACAAATTTATTAAGTGTTTGGGTTGGCGGGCGGGTGCTCTGGTGTGGTTTGCTCCTTCTTTCCTATAAAAAATCTATCGTCTCTATCTCCCCTCCTTCTTTTTTGTGTTTGTTACTCTCTTGTAACACTTCTAATCTTCGGCACTTATATGACCTTATTGTGTTGCAAGTGCCGTAAAACTCTTACTAAAACTAAAAACTAAAACTTAAGTGTTTGGAAAACAGAGAGCAGTTCAACAGAAAAAAACAACAACAGAAAGATAGTGATAAAAGAAAATCCGACAGTAACAATCCCCCCCCAAGCACTCACAAACATACAGTAGACAGACGTAGCTTTTTAACTCTTTATCTGCTCAGAGCCACACACTGCGTGATTGCATTCAAGGATGCGATAAAATGCAAAATTCCGATGGGAAGTCACGATTTTATGTTTCCCCAACTTTTGTGCGAAAAAAAAATTATAGGCGTGTTATGATTGCGTAACATAAAAAGATGTATAAATTTCCAAATAAAATGCAGATTTTATAAAAGTTCATTCTATTCTGAACATTTTGGTGTATGCTACAACTACATTTCAGCGTATTTGATCTAAATATAGCTTTTTTGTGTATCCCCCTTGATCAGAATTTTATCAAGGGGAAAAACCCCAACAAAATCTGTTCAAAACCCCAAGCAGATACAGAGTACAATCACCCACCTCAACAAATCGGAGGACCACTTCCAGTGAGAACTCTGTTCTGTCTTTGCCTCTCCCTCAATGAAATTCGACAGAAATGCCCTGTCATCCTCTGAGAGAAGCTTCGAAGACAGAACTCTCTTCAGAGTGTGCTGAACTTGAGTTTGATACTACAAGGAAAACGAGCGAGGAAAAAAGGTATCAAAAATAGCAGTAACTATAAATATGCCTTAAATAGTAATATAATAATAATAGATTGCATTTATATAACGGTCTATCACATACTAGTATAAGCTCTGAGCACTTAACACCAATCACATAATCATTCTCACAAGAAAAAATACTTCACAGAAACAAGAAATACCAGTTCTTCAACCACATAAAGAAGAACTTTCACAACCATACATTTAACTATACTACACGAAAGGACATATATATAGAGTGTATATTAAAAAATCAGAACTTACTAACACTATAACTAACAATTAAACAAATGAGTCTTGAGCAATCGCTTAAACCTATCAAAATTTGTTGTTTCTGTTAGATCCTGAGGCAAGGTGTTCCAGATTTTTGGGCCAAAAAATGAGACTTTTCTCACCAAAAGATCATAATTTAATCCTAGGGGCTCTGAATTTTTTTAAGACTAAAAAAAAAAGCTTTTTCAGCACACAGCTGCTTTGTTGTATTCTCCACAAATAATGCAACTTAAGGACAGAAATCACTGAGCAACGTAACAATGCAAAACTCAATTATTAATTTGATAAATATAAGCCATAATAAGCTATCTATCACCGAATTGACATCTTTCTTTTGGCCAAACACAAAATAATAACAAGCAATTTGGAAGTAGTGAAATGTTCCGATATTTTTTTTTTTAAACACAAAAAAAACACAACAACAAAAACAATCTGACCAGAGATAATTCCAGGAAAAAATGACATGTGTACAGGAAATCTATAAATAGTAACAATAACAACGACACCAACAGAAACAAATTTCTTTCATAAAACACATTCTAAGAAAAAGAAACTTTCTTAACCCTTTCCGTACGTCATGTTTTACTATTGTATCCATACGATATGGGAAACTCTGAGCCACCACTTTCCAAAAAGGAAAATAACTCTTTGCGTAGCAGTCGCTCAAAATGAATTTTTTAGAAATACTGAAAGTTTCAAAGAGATCTTTGTACTAGAAGTATTCTAGAATGTGAAATACAACCCCGGGGGTACAAAATGACCCCAGTGCGTACGGATATAAGGTTAAATGAAAGCTAATTTCTAACAAGTTGGAACACATCATACCAAATTTTCCACAGTAGCTGAAGAAACCAGAAGAAGAACAGCCCACTGTGGGAGATGAAACGAATGTCGTTTGTCGTCTCCAAACAGATACTTCCGGGCACTCAGTGGTGACTTCAAGGTCGTGTTGATGTCGTTGACTTGTGAATCTTCTAGCTGGGCACCAAGTGAAGCTTTAAACCGAGGTTCAGTCTCAATTTCAGGCCCACCGCATTCTTTCAAAGCTTGATGCAACGCTGAATTCTGAAAGTTTCATAACAAAAGTGAGGTGTGCTGACAAAATGAGTTACTTCTCGGCTTTCAGCCTTATATGGAAATTGATACATCAACTTCGTAGATGAAGTTTGTACAATTTGTAAGCATGAAATAGTAAAGACACAATAACCTTGAACAAAATGGAATCAATTGAAAATCTGTAAATCTGACCCCAGTGTCAATTTTCAGCCGATATCTCTATTCTTGATCGTGAAAAGTAACTCATTTTGTCAGCGAGCACACTTCACAAATATACAGGATTTTAGTCACTTTATCCAAAGAAAGTAAGCGATTCACACTCTAAACGAAGAGCATCTTTATTTTTACAAATCAGGCTCCATCTCTCTGAACAACATCTTTACTTTCAGAAATCAGGATTTTTGGACGAGATTACTGTTATAATATAACTAAACACTTTGTAAACACACAGTGTAGACGTCTGCTCACCTCAAATACTACATCCTCATCCTCCGACTCCATGATTACACAATAAAAAATTTTCAAAAGTAGATCTCTATGTCGGATCTCAATGTCGATGTGAAGTTCACGCCAGTTACTTCATTGAGATGCCATCACTGTGGACGGGTCATGATAATATAAGCATCAACAATGTCAGGAACTCTGGGAGGAATTCCGTAACTAGTGACCACTATGAAATAGAAAGAGGGATAGGGTTAGGGTTAAGGCTAGGTTCAGGGATAGGGTCTATATCTCTACTTTATTGTTTGTTGGGGTGGTTACGGTTACTCATAATGGAAGCCCATCCAGAACTTCCATGATACATACATGATGATGTAAAAAGAAAGAAAAGTTCCCCAACAAAATATATTCAACATAAATCGTTGAAAATCTTCAACTCTATGCTCTATGGTTTGGAGCAAAAACATTTTATGCAGGTCACATTACACAAGTTCCATCCATACAAGCGCGCTGATACTGGCTAGAGGTATGATAGAAAAGGGGAGCTCAAATCAAGTTGATTTTCCAATCCTAGTTTTGACTGGTCTTGTTTCTTCATTCTTTTCCCATTGTTGTCTTACGTCATGAAAATGCATAATTTTTAGCTTTACGGTGTACATTGGATGGATCTCACAGACATTGGCAACAAAGTGAGTCAACAATCGGCTATTAGTAATAGTTGACTAACTTAGTGTTAGTCTACTAATAACTGAATTAAAGGAAGGACTTCCGTAACCAGCGACCACCCTAACAAACACAATAAAAAAGAGGCCTAACCCTAACCCAAACCCTATCCCTACCCCTACCCCTAGATCCACCTCTACCCCTAGCCCTCAATTTTACTTTGTCTCATAGTGGTCGCTCGTTACGGAAGTCCTCCCGAATTAGAAGTTACCGGCATTAGGGTCAAGTCGGTTGCCAATTTAGTTGGGAGGGCACAGCAGGCTTGCCCCCCCCCCACCCCCCCCCCCCCCCCTGGGTTGTCCATTTTTTTTTTTGTGCAATATTATATAACATTTTTCTCGTAAATCACCGATTTGCTGCAATATTTATAGCCATTTATTCGTTTTCAGCACCAAAAAACATGCTACCATGTCACCAAAAACAGTGTTTTCGCGTGCAGACGCATCAGTAAAAATTTACCAAATGATTTAGATCTAATAACGAACCTGTATTTTATTATATCATAGAGATCTAGAATCTAGATGTAGGCCCAGATCTAAAAATAGGCCTAATTACTGTAGGCCGTAGACTATTATTTTTAATGTTTTTAAATAGAAAGTGGCTATTCTCACCCGCCCAGAAGTTCTCGCAAGATCAACTCCTCCCCTCTTCTCTCTCTCTCTCTGTCTCTTTCTGAATACTGTCTATCGGTGTGGACGATCAAATTGACCAAAATAAAGTTTTAAAATGATGTTAACACTTTGCCGCCTCATCTCGCCAATTGGCGATGTTTACCACCCAGTTTCTTTGGATTTTCCCCAAAATATGATGGCAAAGTGTTAAAACACAAAAGTAAATTAATTTGGTTGTCTACAAAGATGCTACGGCTATTTAACTTTTAGAATCGAGCCGAACTACGCGGGTCGCCATTTTGTTTTGCCCGGAAATTCTCGCGCTACTCCTCTCTCTCTTTCTCTCTCTCTCTCCACTGCCCACAGACAAAATTGTACGCTTTTAGTAGGCTACAGTTGTAATGGAACGTTTGTTCATGTTCACGGCACAGAATTCTACAATTTTTCTGTTATCACAGTGTAGAATTCTGTGGTTTAGGGTGAACGCAAAATTTGGTGAACGCGCACCGGGTGAGAATAGCCACAAGACTCGCCTGCACTATTCTCACTCCGGGTGAGAATAGAGGTGGCCTTTTAAATATATCAACCGGCTCTCTATTCTCACACTCACAGGACTTCTTTCTTTTTCAGTCCCATCACAGATTCACTAAATGACAGTTACTGTTGGCTACTATCAATGCTTAATCAATAGCTGAATAGCGTATGATCAATGATACCTTGGTTTACAATCCAAGCATTAAATTTGGCACTTTGCAAACGAGTCCATAATCAGTCAGCTGAAGTTGAAAAGCAAAACAAGAAAGATCAAAGATGTTGAAGAAAGAGAAGGGGGCGTCACTCTTCTTTACTGGTTCGGTGAATCCAGCGACCTCCTAAACTCCGCGATGCTGAACTACACCGGAGATGACTCCGACAAAAAGAATGGAAATAGAAGACAAAGGGAAAACCGGATTCATTACTTGTGGTACGCAAAAGAGGAACTACCGGGTATTTTTTTTTTTTGATCTGTTAGCATTTGCAGGATAATAATTCGATCTTCATAGGTCCAATTTCAATAAAACTTGGAAAAAATAAAATTCGACCCAAGGGACGTCGGTACGTTACATTTATTTAATGTGAAGAACTTCAACCTATGCGTTCGAGATATATAATAGCCTTCTAATGTATTAAGGATTTCTTATTTTGTCGTGTTGTTGTTGTTGTTGTTGTGGTGGTGGTTTTTCTCTTATATTTCCCCCAAAATTTACGTGAAACACAAAATTTCATTAAAATTCAGCCTTGACATATATTTGTGCATTTTAAGAACAGATTTATTGAACTGACAACTCTAAATGAACATGTGGTAGGCATGTTTCTGTGTCGATTCTTTGGGCGTTTTGTTCAAGTTTATCATTGGGTTTCAACTGTAGGTTGTTTGCGGGTTGCTTCTATAATAATAATAATAGTAAATTAAATGACATTTATATAGCGCTCAACCCCGATTAAAGTAGGCCTGCAGGCTCTCAGTGCTTTACAATAGGCCTACAATACAACAGTAACATAAAACGTTCTGACTAAAAGAAAATCATTCCAAATATTCATCTTATTAATGTTTTAAAAAATGACCTCAGATGACATTTGAATTAATCAAAAAATTTGATCTCTCTTAAAGTACTTGGCAAAGTATTCCAGAACTTGGGGCCTTGATATTCAAATACCCTTTCACCCACTGTTTTAAATTTCATAGATCTAGACGGTACATGTAAAAGAAATTTCTATTTGTCTGCTGACGACCTTAAACTGCGAGTTGGAATGTAGTCTCAACAGATTAATGATCGATATATATGATGGTGCATTATCATTCAAACGTTTGTGACATAGGGTAGCCAACGTGTAGGCCTAACAAGGACTTTACTGAAACCTCCAACTGAGGCCTACACAATTCTTTTCTCAACAGGAAGCCAATGCAATGTCCGTTAAAGAGGTGTAGCAGAATCTCTCTTTCTTTACCGTCATAAACTAAACGTGCAGCATTGTTTTGGACAGTTTGAAGTCGTTTAAGTTTAACTTTCTGCAGTCGTATTCCTGATACCCATGAGTTACAAATACAATAATCTGTACAGTCTTTTTTTTTTTTTTAAAGTAAGTTTTTTTATGGCGCTTGCAACTGCATATATAAGGCCATATATATATGAGCGCCAAGGGGCGAATGTCAACAGAGAAGTCCAAACGGGATGTTGTATTCCTCCCCGGGTTGGCCCTTACAGACGGGGCGGGAGGCTGGTCTCTTGAAGAAATGGTCGCTTTTAAGGACAAGCGGGTTAACCCAGATTTCTGGTGTTTCCAGAAATCTTGCCCTACACCAAAAGTGGGCATTGCCCTACCTTCTTCTTCTTCCTCGTTCTCGATGACAGCAACAAGACAGTCAGTCCGATGTCGCGCACAAACTGTGCAGTTCGCTTCAAATCTGAGACACTGCCATAGAGCTTTCTCTCAAGGGGAGTCACATTCTGATTGCCCTACCGATAGGAGAAGTTTGGTTTCATTGGTATGTATTTGTTTGGTAAAAGACGAAAACTCTCCTTTTCTTTTAAAGAAACTGAACAAGGGGCAAAAATTTTACATTCGATTTTCTCAAAACATCATTTTTCGGTGTAGCCCACTTCTGTTAAAAAGCGACCGAAAATGTTCTAGAGTGCGTTGATGGGGGAATAAAGACAATGACATTTCACCCCCCCCCCAAAAAAAGAGAGAAAATTACGTCGTCGAGAAAAGTAGAATGTGTGTGTGTGTGTGTGTGTGACACGCAAATATCCATCTGTAGCAACCACATTGTATCAAGACTGTGGATATCTCATTTACGACCAAACATATTTTGCCAATTTGACAATGACAGAGCTCCTCCTCCTCCTTCTTCTTTGCGTACCCCTCCGAGACTCACCAGTATGTGGCCGTTTATCTTACTTCGAATAGTATAGGAGGGCTCCTTGCCACCAGGCAGCCACATTCCGGGGGCTCTTTAAAAAGCTACGTTTTTCCCTGATCTTTCCCCGTTATCCATTTGTTTAGGTTCCAGGTTGCTCTGGGCCTAACTCTACCTCGATTGCCTTCAGTTTTGCCAATGAGAGCTAGACGTTCAAGACCTTCATGATCATGTCTAGTCAGGTGTCCCCAAAACTACATGTATTTGTCGTTTCCTGATTGTTTTTAACAGTGAGCGTCTCACAAAGCACTACCTCATTTGACTGCATAAGGTCATATGTGCGCCAGAAGATTATATAGGCGTTACAAGAGAGTAACAAACATTAAAAAGAAGAAGGGGAGATAAGGACGATAGATGTTTGGTAGGAAAGAAGGAGAAAAGAAGGAGGGGAGATAAAGACGACAGATGTTTGATAGGAAAGAAGGAGCAAACCTGTAACCACATCAGAGCACCCGCCAACCACCCACTTAGAAGTTCATTCACTTAAACTTCAACATTTCTTGTTGTGGGCACCAGAGGGTGAAGGAAGGACCTCGGTATTTATTTACACACAGCACACGACCGTCAGTGACAAGTGACTGAAAAACCCTAAACTCTCCTTCTAACCAAGTTCAAGAGTACGGTACCCCCTTCAGGATTTTCAACCAGGGCCGGCTGCCTCTGTCTAATACAAAAGGTTACAAGTTACAGACTGAATTGTCTATTGTCATTGGTTTTAGTAAGAGTTTTACGGCACTTGCAACACAATAAGGTCATACAAGTGCGGAAGATTAGAGGTGTTACAAGAGATTAACAAACACAAAAAAGAAGGAGGGGAGACAAAGACATAGATTATGATAAGATGTTCAAGTTTGATAGGAAAGAAGAAGCAAACCACACCAGAGCACCCGCCATCCACCTACACTGGACTGTCAGCCAACAGTGAAAAATGTTAGCTTTTAAGAGTAAAACAAGTTGGTCGAATCAAAATAATCAAACACGACAAAATTTAAAAATAAAACAACAGGCACAAATGAGTGCTCAATTATTGATGTTTATTTCAATGAATGTTTTACAAACAATATTCTGTATCATGTAGTATTGCATACATCATAGTTCACACCATGCCACACACAGCATCCAGCATGTTCTGGGACAGCCATCCACAGCACAAAGGACCAGGCTGCCCTCTTTTCACTCCTCCACTCAACTGGCGCTGATTCGCAGTAGAGGTTAAAAAAAAATTATTTAAAAAAAATAAATGTAGCTGTGTTTACGCCCCGATCGACACAATTTAGACGATTACTTAGGGCACGGGGCTTCTGGCCCTACCTGTCGGGGCCAATCCATGCTGGCTGAGAGGGATAGAGTCAATATACACGGCAAAAAGACGAGACACGCAATACAAAATTCCACCCGTTCGGGAATCAAACTTGTGTCTCCTGGGCGAGACAGCGAAGCTCGTAACTGTTGCTAAACCGTCATAGACGAAGCATGTAACTGCTGCTACACTGTCATAGACAGAGCACGTAACTTCTGGCTACACCGTCATAGACAGAGCACGTAACTGCTGGCTACATTGTCATAGACGGAGCACGTAACTGCTGGCTACACAGCTACACCGTCATAGACAGAGCACGTAACTGCTGCTACACCGTCATAGACAGAGCACGTAAATGCTGGCTACACCATCATAGACAGAGCACGTAACTGCTGCTACACCGTCATAGACAGAGCACGTAAATGCTGGCTACACCATCATAGACAGAGCACGTAACTGCTGCTACACCGTCATAGACAGAGCACGTAACTGCTGGCTACACAGCTACACCGTCATAGACGAAGCACGCAACAGCACCTTCACCGTTATAGACGTCGCCGGCGGCCAGTAGTAGAGGACTCAGGAGCTGCTTTCCCTGTGTGCACATTGAAGATGACAGTGGCAGGCGCACAGACTCGGAGAACATGTAGTGCAGGCACGGCTGACTCCTGCAGTCTTTCTCAATTTATAATATTTCGGAGAAGTTTAATAACGTAGTCTAAGTTTTTTTCAAAGATGTCGCCCAATCTTGACTCAAATTAATACAAGAAAAAAAAAATTAATATGATAAATAATAATGCCAGACACAGGAGCTTACCACAGGCTACTACAACTTAATGCCAAGCATTTATTTACTAAGGAAGAAATCTGAGAACATTTTCATAAATAAATATAAAGCAAATTGACGCCGCAGAAACTGCCTCCGCAGAACACATCATTCTGTTCACACGGCAGCTACTGCGTTGTAAACCTTTCCAAGGGGGATATCGAGACCTGACACTCAAGTAAGCATACAAGGTTCCAGCAATAAACTCCCCACTAAAAAGTAAAGGAGGTTTCAAGAAGAAATTGTAAAAATTCAAGGAGGAGATTTGGTCAAGAAATTCATGCCGAAAGCTTATTTCCGATAGGCCTACACTTGTCCGAAAGGAATTGTAGTTTCGTTTTTCCGACAAAAATTTTGTTCATGTCTGATCTGGCGAAATTCAAGGAGGTTCCTCAACTTCAAGATCCTTCCTTGAAATTGAAAGCAAATTCAAGGAGTTTTCAAGGACTCCTTGAATTCAAAGAGGCCGCGGGAACCCTGAAGCATAGTGCTGGCCCACGGGTCACGCATTGACGACCCCTGACCCCCCGACCATGCCAGACACAGAGCAGGCAGCACACACTCGTCCCAACACCCGGGGCGACAAAACATGGAATGTCCTCGCTTGTGTCTTCTTACCGCACTTCACACAAACACACCGATGAGAAAGCAATGGAAGATTTATTAACACTGAAAGTAATTTAAAAATAAAATAGAAAGATACTCGGCGCGGCGTATACAGCGAATACAGCTAGAAAAGGTTTTGTCCATAAATTATATGCAGTGCAATGACTCGGGCACCGTCACTTTGCTCCGGTCACAAGTGGCGAGCTAGGCGTCATTTGTCGAATCCTTCCCAACCACATGGGCTAAGCAGCTCCGAAACAAAAAAAAAAAAAAAAAAAA